CTCTCTCTCTCTCTCTCTCTCTCTCTCTCTCTCTCTCTCCCTCTCTCCCCCTCCCTCCCTCCCTCCCTTGACCCTGCCTTCCTCCACATACACATGGTTTGTTTGGGCTTCTGTTGATATTGTGGGTTTTCTGCTCCTTAGATTTCTTACTCTGTGACTGGCATCCTCCAAGCCTTTTAAGAAATGCTGAGGAAGCTGCAGAGATTCTTTACTTCAGCTTTGATGGTTACACAGACTGTGTCCTCCATCTCTCGTCTACCTAGGTGGTCACTGGTGAGCACCAGCGGCTAGAAAAACAGATTCTCCACCCAGAGGGCAACAGGTTTGTGCACTGAAGGAAAAAAAAGGATGCAGTCATCTTAGTGAGAAACCACCACAAGTGCTGCCGCATGCCAGGTGCTATGCAAGGCACAAGGGTGTGAGGCCATGTTAACGCAACCGGCAGAGCCCATGTGGGCCTTGTTTAGCTTGAGTGGAATCTGGCAGTCTTCACAATCCAGCGCTGAACAGTATCAACACTAAGTCTACTGGAAGAAAATGCCAGCTCTTCTGATCACCTGAGATCTGGTCATGTTGACTTTCTCAGTAACCAGACTAAATGAAGTTTGTGGGTATCTTCTCCATAATATGAAGACCAGGAGCTGATTCATTCAAGCGTTTTAAAAGTACGTTCTTTCAAATCTAGTCTGGGCAACATTGGGGCACTAAAGTTTTGAGAAAAATGTCAGGTTCCTGTTGGGCACAGTGGATGAAGTTAGCTTCGTAGGCTTACTATAGGGATTAAATAGAAAGCTGAAAGCCAGCTTCTACTCTCGCTCGGAGTGCTGCTCATGTGTCGTGGGGCAACCTGTGACTATCTCAAAGCAACAGGCTGAGCCCATACAGCAAGACAGCATTGTTTCTCTCCTGGGGATTATGTTTTGGAAAGAAGTAATCAGTAGTTTGCCACAGGTGTCTTCTCCCTCACAACAGTGGAATAAGGGATCTGGGTTTGCTAAGTAAAAGGAGATCTGAGGACAGGAATGTTAGCAGAATTGGTGGTGCTCAGCAATTCTCAGGTCTTATCATTTTTGGCATTGTTTTTGTCCATTCTGTAATATGACTGTGAGGGGCTGGGGGGCAGGCTCGTGATGACACAAGAGATACCTTGACATTTCAGAAACAAAGGTCAGCAGCTGAACTGGTGCAAGAGCAGGCTGGATTCTGGGGCAAATATTGAGTCCCTGCCACCACGCTAGCGTTATGTGACTTCCACTCACATAATGGATGTCTTATAGAGCGCAAAAAGGAGTTGTGGGAGTATTTTGAGTCACACAGCGGGAATGACAGCACTCTTCGCTTCATTATCTGGTTATTTCAAACAAACTGAAATGATACATCCTTCCTATCATTTCATTAATGTGAAGTTTTTGACTCTTACTGTATCAGAATGGGTCCTGTACCTGTGCTGTTAGTCTTTTGTCTTGGTGTGATTTTCTAGATTAAACTTCCTCCCATTTTTCATCCTGGTTTATTTATCTGAAATGCCTAGCCCTACTTTTTGTAGAAATTCATGGTAATTTGACGTTAATTATATTCAACTCTTCATTCTGTTAGCACAAACTTATTGGCATGTTATCTGGTACCTGGAAATATATACATTTATAATTTTTAATGAAACTTGAATTTGCCCAGTCAGATAGTAAACTGAATATCAGGAGCTTCTCTATGTACAATATATATATATATATATGTAATCTATGACATACACACATACTAGCAGTGTGTAATCTATCCCGAGGGCACAATTCTCAATAATTGACCTCTCCTCTTCACTTTTATTTTGCTTTAATAGGTTAAGTAGATGGTTTTGCAGTTGAAAATTTGCAGTTGGTGAACTGGACCAATGCATATGTCTAATGTAAGAAAAATTAAAAACCTCAAATTTATATTCACAAGAATGAAAGTAATCTAGATTGCTGTTCTTCATATCCTCTGGGAAAATTCTTTTCCTAAATTCATGATAACAACATACACACTTGAGCTATGCAAACACTTGTGACAGATTATTTAGGGGGCAAAAATGAATATTTTTCTTGAATTATAGAACTCTTCACCTAAGTTCTGAACTTAAGGCTCCGAAGCCCTCGCCTCTCTGTGCCAGCCTGTGGGAGGCCCTTCAGACCTGTTTTTGTTGGCTGTGAAGGAGTTCCAGGGTCACAGAGGGCTCAGAGAGCCTTTCCTGCAGTGCCCACCCATACTCTCTTCTCTTCCAACTTCGATGAACATGTGATGTGAGTAAAAACTTAAGGTTGTTGTCATCAAAAATTTTGTAGCCCGTGTGTCACCTTACTGCTCTTTCTGCTGTCCTTAAACCATTTTATTTGCAAAGCACGGTGCTGCGACTGCATATTCCATTCAGGAGGGCCTTCCTAATTTGTCCGAGATCAGGGCCGTCATGAAACCTTTTCAATCCTCCAGATACCATGAATTATTTTGACATTCCTGATACTAACACAAAATAAGGTTTTCTTCTCATAATTAGGCATATACTTAAAATGCAAATACTGCTCAAAGCATTAATATAATGATAGGCCCTCACTCACCCAAGCTGATAATGGCTGGTGGCAGATCTCTTTCTGAAAACAGGTTTTGATTAGGACAAAGTCGTAACTGAGTTCTGGAAAATGACAGGTCACTGCCAGGGGGATTTCCACACCCCATAGAGAATCTGAAGTGATTTACGAGTATGCACAGAGAAGACATTAAGCCTTCTATTTACTTCATCTTACATTATGCATTTGAGATGCATAGGTTCTTTCTTACTGACACATAGTAATTCTACATACTTAAAAGAGATCGTGGGACATTTTCATCCATGTACACAGGTAATACGCAAATGAGAGTAGGTGCCCATGTTGCTGGTATGTACAGTAGAGTAATATATATGTAAGTGGCAAACAAAAATACACAGGTTGGATACATTCAAACATTTTTTGGTAGGGGCATGTGATCTACAAGTTCAGAAATCATTACTTCCAGGGTGAATGTGGTGAAGGTCCTCAGGATGCAAAGGGGAGAAATGGTCACAGAACAAGTGTTCTGTTTCTGCTTATTGCTGGCTCCAGCTCTTTGGTCAATAGGGAGCTCACCAACTCCCAGTCTGATGCCAGGACAGTCCCTTTTAAGATGTCAAGAAGTTGCTCAATGTTCAGATGTTGACCAAAGAAAGTAGATGTTGATAGTGCTTTTTTTTATCCACTTTGTTTTCTCAAGTGTCTGATGGAAAAAAAAAGTTTTGAGGGAGTTTACTGTTCGTGCGAGGTGACTGGTTGACTAACGAAGACCAAAGTTTTTTATCTGCAGAACAAATAAAGCCTGGCCAAAGGTAACTGAAGCGAGTGTCTCCCACCTTGTCCCTTTTGCATGTCTAAGGGGGGTGTTTGTGCTGTTGTTGCACAAGAGAGGATCCAGTCTATGTATGTCAAGTGGAGAGGGGGTGCATTTCAGAGTATTACTGCTAAAAATGGTCACTGGCCTTTCTTCTTCGCTCCACACGCAACTGATTGTGGGACTTAGATAAAAATCAGTTAAAATTTGAAAACTTTGTTGATGAGCTATTGCTAAATGGACAACACCTGGGTAGCTGAATTAAAACTTTTTCTCTTTCCTCAAAAGTAGATACAAGTGAGCTCCATGAAATGCTAAGCTAGTTTTTCATGGGCATTGTTGATCTGCGTGCATGCTGATGGTTAATGACTACAGAGACGACGGGATTGTTCTTAGGATTGTTCCATAAGAATTGCTAGAAGAGCAAATCAACATAGAGAGCTCAATTTGTGTCTTAGAAGACAATTTTCTGTATACAAATACTGATGAGAAAATGGGATATGTCTGAGGAAGGCACCCATGACTTGGAAATCCCAGAGACGTGCCTAGTCAGTTCCTGCATTTTGTCTACTGTTTCTGTCAGAACTTAAGGGGCTCCAATTCAAGGAGAAAGAGATTTTCTAAGGTGTAGTCATGGAATATGATAGTGAACAAAGCAGCAGTCAGTTATGGGCAGAAGCTAAGTAAGCTAAACAGGTCAATGAAAGCTGGTCTTTGGACCAGATTGTGGAGAGTTTTATAAGCTTTTTCTAAGGATGCTTATCATCAAAGAATTACTTCTCAAAGAAATATTTAAGAATGGGTTTAGACACTAAGAACAAACTTTCTGCCTATATGTTGACTGAAAGAATTCTGATGGGACATTGTAGATGACTTGGGAAATCTACTGAAAATACTCCTTGCCCATAGGCGTATGTATGGGTATGCCAGTGACAACCGAAACTACCTAAAGTCCGGGTTTTCTGACCAATCCCAACATTTATTACTAAATTGATATAAAATTTTGAAGAAACACTTTTCCATTATGGAAAAGACAAGTTTCAGTTTCTAAGGCTAAGCCCTAAGCTGACCTATGGTTTGGAATTTCACTTGTGACTGATGATTCAAGTGGAAAAACTCATTATAATAAAAACATAGGTTAGTCATTTGGAAGAACTTCTATACAGACTGACATTCTGGCCAAGTTGTTAATAGGGTTGGATTCTGTCAAAGCCCGAGGTAGACAACCATCTCTCTGACTTCATGAATTTTTAGTTTTTGGTGAAAATAATAATAACCTCTGGAGGTTCTATGAAGCCTAGAGCTTGAATCAGGTGCCCAATCATGGCTGAGGACATTGTGTGTGGGAACCACTTGATCTGCCTTTAAAAGGAGCTCCTTTTGGTGGAACATGGGTGACTGTGGGAAGGTGTGGAGGTTGGAAGAGAAGCAGAAAGAGAAGTAATGGAATAGTTTGTGATTCATGATGGGCTTGGACATCAGAAGAACCTTCAGATCAGCCAATCACTAGCATCAGGAAGGGCAGTCCATGTGCGCAGCATTATGAAGGCATTTTGTAAAGAGGATGGCAGTGTGGAAGCAAAGAGAGAGACACAGGAGAGAGACACAGCCTCCGCCTCACACACGCAGTGCACGGCTGGCGGCCGCAGCCTCGCAGGCCTGGTTTTCCAATCTGGCACTCAGCTTGATGAGGCTGTTTATTCAGCTCCAGTATCAGACGTTCCCTTTTCCTGCCTGAAGAAGTCCCCTTTGAAGAGCTGCTCTGCTGGGGAGCAGTTTCCCCTTGGACAGGCTACTCCTGTTTGCAGTCTGAAAGGAAAAGAACTGGAAATGCCACAAGAATGATCGTTAAAGTGATATTCCAGCACCACGTGAGGGGAGGACAGAATAGCTATGAGAGATGTATTTCCTGGTTGAGGTACTTTTTTCCCCCTCTCAAGAGAATTTAGCAGTGAACAAAGGTGTCACATGAGTAGGGTTGGGGTCAGATGTTCATAGGTGCCTCCAGGTCTGTGTGGGGAAGGTCAGGGCTGGGGTGGGGGGTCTGGGGTCAGATGACAGCACAGGGGGCCCCTGCAGGCCCAAAGAGGGCCAGAGATAACAGAGCGAGCCCAGCAGCCCAGCCTGCAGTCTATCTGCAAAGGACTTGGCGAGGCACTTACCGGACGACCATCCTCTACTTTCAAAGCCAAATGATAAATGGAGTGTTCTCTAGAGAATGGGTGGAAGAGGCTCAGAATCCAGTTGGATCATTCAGAGGGGGTGAATTTCACTTTGGTGTTTTGTGTTAATTCTGTAAATATCAAGAATATACTTTCTTTTTCCCTTTTTCCAAAAATGGTGCTCATGTCAGCCGTGTGATGTCGCCAGGGAGGATGCTACTCACCTGAATTCTCCCCTTTGGAAAAGGATGTGGCCAGAGCAAGAGCGCTGGTTTCCCAGCTCATTACTGAAGGGGCAGAATGGTAAGCCAGGCCTCTCGACACTGGGACCAGGTCTCTTTGCTTTGTGTTCTTGGGACCTGTATAAAGTGCCAGTGGGAGTCTCAGGGAAAAAAAGGGAAGGTGACATTTGCTATCTCCTCCCAGGCATGCAGAAAGCCACTGTGACTTTGAAGCCACCGCTTTGCTGTGCCCAGTGCTCTCTCGGGGACTGGCCTTGGGGAGGAGGTTCAAAGGGAAACCTTCAGAGGGTAAGTCGCACATTCTAGTCGCTGCGGCTGCCCATGCCCGGGGCTGGTTTGTTCAGTCCTTACCTAGGCTGCACGAAACAGGAGTCCTCCAGAATGAAAAGCATACTTTGTTCCATTTTGGAGACAAACCCTGTGAGTCAGAGATGCTACTTCCCTGGGGGAGACCTGATTTTCCGGGAGCGGGGACAGGATCCACACTGTCCCCCTGATTCCTTGCAGAGGCCCCTGTGGCTGTCCTCGGCTCTCAGCGCTCAGCCAAGAGGTTGAGGAACAAACCTCCCCATGAAGGGAACAAAGGACCTGAAAGCACATCCTGGAGGGCACGGCCAGACTCCTTTCTGGGGGATATGGAGCCTCTTCTCACGGGGAGACCGGCAGCAATGTCCCTTATAGGTGACTGTTCCGACTTCGGCGCTCAGAGCCTCTATCTTTCTGGAGGTCTGCCATATCTCTCCATGTAGAACTGAAGTTTCTCAGCACTTGAGCCATATCTCATAATCATTTGTATCCTCTACGGCTTCCTAGTGCTTAGAATATCTGACGGATGAGAGAGAATCCATTTCTGGCCATCCTTATCCAGGTGTCTCTCAGCCTGTAGTTGGAATTGGATCGGCTGGGAGACAAGACACACGCACTTTGAAAGAAGTCCCAGGATGACTCTCACGTGCAGCAAAGCCAGAGCATTACTGGTTTATCCTCTCTCCTCCGACTTTGAAAACTCTTTGTGACTTTGGAACATACCATAAGCATAAACTCCATCGCAGGCTTAGGCAGGGTTTTAGGATTTACAAAGCTTTGTTCACGTTTTTGTCTAATTTAATCCTAGTGCAATGGGCTAATTTAAACAGGCATTGGGTGTGGGTGTTTGCCCCATCCTTGTTTAGGGGCAGAGGCAGTAAAGTGCTGGTCTCTGCACACACAGTCCTCTTCCACATCTCCTGGGTCCAGGGGTGGAGTCCCCTCCATCACACCCTCAGCTCCACACATTTGTCAGGTGTAGCTGCTCTTGGGGTGGAGTGACTCTTTGCTGGCTGTCCACAGAGCCGGGGACAGCTGCTGTGGTTTACTCAGTCGTTCCTGATGAAGCCCACAGCAGAATAAGTGGCTAAGGCTACTCACGACATATCCATTTGTGCAAATGTTAGAAATAATCATGAGAACAGCACCTGTACTTGTTACCAAACTGTAAAGCATAACAGGGGAAGTGGTGACATTTGGTTCAAAGGAGGACAGTGCTTGTTTGGTGACCTGTGACTTAGACTGTGTGTTCCAGACTTGTCTTCTTAACTCATTTTACCTAGAACAATGGGAAAAGGGTGGGAAATGGACTGAAACTGGGATTCCCAGCGATGAAAGGCTAGCTCTGTTGGGGCTGCTTGCTTTAGACTTCGCTGAGGTTTGCAGAGACCCAGACAAGACTCTGAGTGAGTAGCTCCAGCACGTGGGATGCTGCACAGGTGAGCAGTTTGCATGCTACATAATTAAGAAGGTCATACTGCCCAGAAGCTCATGTGGTATCCAAGGGAACAGGAAGCTGAGTTCTCAGCGACTCGGTGGTGGTTGCCTGAGTGTTTGAAACATCACTTTCTGGATGGCTGTGTATTCTTTGATGAGTTGGAAAGAACTGACAGCCACCAGAAAGTGAGACTTGTCAATCAGGGAGAAGGTAGGCCTGCACCTACTGCTGGTACCCAGTTCTCTCTCACTTAGCTGAGAAGGGACCCCTTCTTTAATGATGGAGTAACAGATGATTGATATGACTGTACCCTGATTAGAAAAGGTTTCATTTTACTTGTGCATGGTACATGGAATTAGTTAAGGGTTGCACAGGAAAAGAAGTGAAGGACCATTGTTCCCATTAAATTATAATGACAGCCTTCCTAACCAGTGTGTATTTATTATGTAAGAAAAGAAAATGTCTGGTAAAAATCTGTATAGGTTAATAACACCTTCATAATATACTTCTTCTTTTCTATTGACTTGAATAGCCCTCCTACTGACTTTTAATGGATTATTAGAGTTAATTACATCAATTGCAATATAATTGATTCTTAAATACTATGTAGAAACCTCATACAATTATGGAAAAACAAAAGTTATCTAGACATCTCAAATCAAAAAAGATTTGGAATTCCTGCACATTTAATTTCTGATAATCACTAGTCAGTTTGGACACTAAGATTGCATGGTGTCTTGTTTTCTCTTTGCTAGGTTTTGACAGAATTGATAGTTTTACAACATTTAACTCAATATGCACGGAAATATAAGATTAAAGCTGTGAGTGCAAATTTTTTTTTTCTAAAAAAAGATCACTTCATGGCTTAAAAGCTGAAATGTGTTACCTGCCTAACACTGACAGAAACAAACTCAAGGGAAAATCAAAAGTTGATTTGATGTGGAGTTTTAGAAGCCGCTTCTCCACAGGTGCAGATTCCCACGGGTCTTCGGGTTTGTTACCTGAGGACTTTAAAATATAACACAGGGATGAGTCACCCATAGGGGCCAGAGAGCGTCTCCCATTTTATTATCTGGACATGATCTGTGTGTTCTAAGGACACCAGTAGGTGATAGGGACAACATCATTAATTTCTGGTATTTGATGTCATCCAGATCAATAGAAGTCCAGAACAGAGTAGGTGGAAGGCAAGCTTCTCAATTTTAACTGATTTTGGGAATGAGCTTGTGGGTGTTGATAGTTGTAAATGTGCATTGGTTTTTTGGGGGAGGGCCCCCGCTCAGGATGCCTTCAGGGCAGGTCTGGTTTGGCTTGAGGATGAGGGGTTTGAACCACGGCATCCTGAGCCTGACTGCTTTGTTTCAGCTGGCCCTTGAACACCTGAGCTAATGGGCAGGTCCCCAAATGTGCATTTTCTAAGGCATTCTTATGCCTCTCAGGTAAAGATTTCTGGATCATTCTGAAATGGTCAGCTTGCCACTGGCCACTTAGCTTGATGCTTGATTGCTTCCCTACTTAGGCCTCCTTTCTCTTCTGAAAAATGGGCGAGTGGGAGGGCAGGGGCTGGCAGGGAGACTGTATTTCCCGAACTGTGAAACTCTTGACCTTGAACTCTAGAGACGCCTGTCTACGGTAACTCATATCAACATGTGTACACCCGTGTACCTTCCATGCGAATTGGTTTGTCTTCTCTTCCTACCTATGTTAGACGTTTCCAACCACAAGGCCCATGCTGTACACAGCTCTGTATCCCATATCACCTGTTAAACTTTCTTTGCGTGGAATGGGGTACTAATTACTTGACTGAGTGGTCAATCAAAAGGAACTATTGCCATTTGTTTCCTGAAGTTTTGATGGGATATACTAATTATGATGCTTTCCATGTACTGTAATGGCTTTGCTTTCTAAATCATTGTAGAATATATTGTTTTATTTTTGAAGCCCAAATTGAGCTTTAAAATCAGGTAAATTTAAGAAGTAAACATTCACTGTGTTTCTCCACGACCCTAACACAACCCCGTCTGCAGTGAGATTTTTAATAGAACTGAAGCAGCCTCTTCTGAAGCTCATTTGAGAGGGAAAAGCATGAAAATAGTCCTGAAAAGTAAATCAAAAATTTTGCATGAGTGCGGACATAGCCTACTAGTTATCAAAACAATGAATACATCTTAAGTCATTTAATACCAAAGTGTAGTGACAAAACAGTTAGCCATGAGAGATTAGAGTCCCCAGGGAGACGCAGGAGCACAGAGGGATGCCACAGGTGCGGGCACTTCAAATCTGAGGCTGAAGAGTAAATGGCGTAGAGAAAAGCATCTGCATTTTAAACTCATACCACACACAACTAATTTCAGATGGAATAAAGCTCTAAACATAAGGATCAAATCTATACAAGCATTACAAGAAAATATGAATGAATCGCTTAAAATTTTTTTCTTCGGTTAATGGGTCTTTTGAAACGGGATGGGAAATCCAGAGGCCATTACCAAAAACTATCACCTCTCTAAAGCAGTTATCAAAAAGTTAAAAGGGAAGTGACTGATTGGGACAAAATATTTGACTTATATGTGACAGAAAAAAGTGTTGCTACCCACTATCCAAGGAATGACTACAAGTTTATGAGAAAAATATAACTAACTTGCTTGAGAAAATGAGCAAAAGATATAAAATAAGCAATCTTAAAGGCAGATAACTAAGAAGCAATTGAAAAATATGCTCCATGTCATTCATTCACGAAGACATGTAAAATAAAGGAATATAAGTTGTCCTTTTCTACATATCAAGTGGGGAAAAGGATTATGGAACTCGAATAGTGAATGTGTATTTTGTGTAGACCATCAAAAAGAGACACCAACAACATGCTGTCAGACAGAAGACACAAGCTACAGAAGATAGTGCATTATATGATGTCATTTGCATAATGGTTTTAGGGGCAGGACAGATAGTTTAGTGGAATAAGTACCTGCCTGGGAAATGCAGGGACCTGAGTTCAATTCCTGGTACTGCTAAATAAATAACACATTTAAAGAATGTATGCATATAAGATGTATTATAATAATTATATATTCATTATAAATATATGATCTAGGTAGTATCTCTTGGAATAGTACTCCGGTAGGTAGAAGACTACTTCTTTGTTCTTTTGGTTACTTTCAGCTTACAGACATTTTTTTTTTAAATTGTGCTTCATTTAATACTCAAGCTGAATAACTGGTCTTTAGGAAGTGGTTATATGTAGTTCAGGGGATTTGGCTGAATCAATTATAAAAATCTAATGCAGTGTTTTATGGAATCTCAGTCACTTCTGATCAAATTCTTCAGTCAATCTTATTGGGTTGGGTGAGCCACATAAGGTTCTGGGCTTTCACTGGGCATGGATGGCATCTTGCGAGGGTCTGTTCAACCATTAGAATCCCGAGGTTTGCACCGGGGCTGTCACAGAGCTGCCTCCTGACCCACACTTGTCTGTGATACCCACAGGTGCTCCCATGTGCCCCCAACACTCCACGTGTTGATAAATCACAGCATCCAGGCCAGCAGCAGGGTTACACAAGTCAATGTAAACACAGTCTCATGATTAATCTGAACCTGCTTCTAAATGGTTTGTTAGCAAGTAGCTTGCAAGTTCAGATCTTTGCTCACATGGATCTTTAAGGAAAGCTTTCCCCCCATCCCAATGACTTCCTGTTCATGGGAAAATGAGAGGAAATGAACCCCTACCAGGAGGATGGACCCACCCTTTTCCAGTCGTGTGGCTGATTTGTCAGGTGTAATGTTGGCACCTGGTGGCTTGTGTTGGCTTCCTGCCTAACCATGCTGGGGAAATATCTAAATACTTGTAACAGGCGGTAGAAGACTTCAAAGCCATTTGTAAGAGAAAAGGATATTGTCATTAAATAACTTAATGGTGAATACTCCCAATCATTAGTGATGTCAAGATAAAAGGAAAATTTTAAAAACACATTATCTAGAGTTTTCTCTGATGTATCATATGACCTGTTAAAACAAAGAAATGTACAGTAGTTTGTTTAGTAATACTGTGTATTCAAGGATATATTATATGTTTATTTATTGAAGGTTCAGTTTCCTTATTTTTATGAGATTAGCAAAGGTAAAAGTTATTTATGTGAAGATTGTGAATTATTTCCTTAATTCTTCTTGCTCATACTTTCAATAGATATTCTCTCTGCATCCCCTAGTGGAGCTGCTTCACTTGACTCAAAGGGGAGATCTACAGTAATACTGAGTGGATCTGGTAAATTCAAAAGGGCAATATTGGTTTTCACAATTCATTAGGAATTTTGGATGGGCACAGCTGGTTCAGTTCCATACCTCTCAATTTTCAGCAAGAAATAATTACTGCCTTTTGAACAATGATACAGTTAATTGTTCTGCAATTCAAGGTAAATCTGTCATGAATTGGGATTAACCAAACTATAATCAGTGGTCATTAAAGCATAATAAATTTCACCTAACAACGAAATTTATTTTACTTTTTGTAATTAATGTAAGCTATATTGGCTTAGTGTGTTCAAAACTCTCAAAGCACCCTCAGCATTCACGGGCATGAGGAGCAGGACTGACTGATCATGTCATATAATCCTATATATTCATGTTGTCATCACCTGTGAACCTCCATCGGTTGTTTCTATCAAATGATCAACAAGTCTTTATTGACATTATATTGGCCCAATACGGCATCAGAAAGATTTTATCCACTGAATGGATCTTGGCTGAATAACTTCTATTAAAGGGCATATCACTGGATCTGCCCCTCCACAGGCTGATGCCCTCAGAGGGAGTGAAAAAGAGCATTCCATAAGAGTCGCAGCCCAAAGAGTTGATCGCAAAGTGATTCTTGTCTTCCGAGCCTTACAATCTCGCAGTCTACCTGGGTGATGAATGTGGAAACAAAGGAGTGATTAGAAATAATATGTTGTGTGATAGGCACTGTTAGTGGGGGAGAGTTGAGAAACAGAGACTAGCGTGGATGGAAATGACCCTTGAGGAAGAGATTAGCTAGCTGAATGTTAAGCATGAATGGTATTTGGACAGCCACAAAGGGAGCTCGCGGACATGCTGAGTATGTGGGAACCCGGCATGAGTGCAGGGTGAGCAGGGCTTTTGGGGTGCTCCTGAGGACTCCACTGCTGGTCCCAGTTTCTCATGGGCAGATGGCCCAAGGGGCAGCGCTGTAGGAGGTCTGAGGTTCAGTGGAGGAATTTAGCCTCCTGAAGTGTGTGTTGGGGAGAAGATGGGGTGATATAAGGGTAGTAGAGGAAGTTTGTCCTTGCAGTGACGGTGACATCAGGGAGGGGTTGTGCTGGTGGCAGGGAGGCCTGCTGGGGGTTCTTCTGGGAGGCAAGTGATGGTGGAAATG